TATACGTTGCCCAGAGTGCACCACGTGGAGGTAAGTCCATCGCACACCCCGCATAGTAAAAATTGATGTTGTGCCTTGTTCCGCACTTCATCCCGTGAGCGCATCTTGTTGCTCACACTTGTAGCTTGAAGAAGTAGATTTACTAACGACGATGGATCAGGTAAATGGCGCAAAGTGCCTTCTCATTCTCGGGGGTGTCTACCTACTAATTCAAAAATAGCCCAATTGTGTTTATGTTTTGAAATGGCAAACGAAATTCCATTCTTTATTAAGGAATACTTTTTTATTTGCCAAATATGTCGGCATTTCAATTTCGACTTTTAAATATGCGGGGTTCACATTTTTTTCTAATTTCTAGCCAAATTAAAGAAGAACAAAAGTCCGACCCTGAGGAGCAAGAGGAGGATGAGATGGAGGAAGAAGCAATGAGACACGCCGATTCTCCTTCTGCTGTCTGCAAACCACGACGTGGACGTATTTCACGAGAACAAGAAAGGAGATTATCCTCTCACTTTGAAGACGAAGAAGAAAATGATGATGAGGCTGATGGATCAAGTTCTCGTTGTAGGGAATTTCCTGTTTCGAGCCCATCAAGCGGGCCTCGTAGACGTGGTGCTGGAGCCAAACATACTAGGGACTTCCGTAGTCTGGTCAAAGCTGCTCAACGTGATGTTGTAAGTAGTGTTCATTCATTAATGAATAGGATATACATTATTCTATGCATAACAACAACAGGAAGAAAATAATTTGGGAAAGGCAAGGCGACTTGACCCATGATCTCGAGGGAAGGGAGGAGGGGGGGGGGGGGGGGGAGCAATTACTACTTTCTCTCACAGACCGAAGATCTAATGAAGTTCGTCGCGCTGAACTTGATTTCAACGCTAGGGATAGCATCCTGATATATGGAAACCGAGGATTGGACACTGTAAGCCTTTGTTGCTCAATGCATTCGAGGAAAAGTGATTCTGTAGATTCTCCAAGAGCATTGCCTCCTTTTTTGCATTATTCACACACTGTCTCTTTGTTGTTATGACAGCCATCCTTAATCGAAGTATTCCTTAGCGTAGCGATTGATTTATTTTAGCCATGACTATGTGTGAGTTTCCTCTCGATTTTTTCTTTTACATAAAAAATTCAAGTGAAACTGGTTTATAATGGCTGGAATGACTTATCAACCCAGCCAGAAGTGAATTCTTGTTCTCATCGAGGGCTGGCTGTGTGATTTCCAAAGATTATTCCTGTTTACGGATAGCCTTAGAACCGTTGTGAGAAGACCGTAGTAGAGATTCATATCAATGTATTTCTTTTTCTAGGCTGCAGCTCGTCGTTTTGCAGTATCTCAACGCCACAGGGGCTCGGCTTCACGTGGCCGAGGTGGTGCTGGTAGGCCTCGTGGGAGTCTTTCTCGTCAGTTGTACCAGAAACAGTACCAACAGCGAAGGAAATCTCGTCAAGAAGCTATCAATAATGAAGAGGAATACGATGAGGAGTTATGTGAAGCTCCAGGTGGATGTAAGAGACCTAGTGGAAATGTCAGTTGGGTGGCGTGTGATCAGTGCGACTCCTGGTACCATCAGCGATGTGTTGGCATCATGAATACTCGGGAGGTAAGTTTGTTTTCATACACCGCTTTTATCACTGAGCTCGAGTCCCATAATAACTTGAGTTTGACGTTGGCTATTGATTAATGTCAAAATTGTAGGTAGATATGTGTAGTCTATGTCATTTATTTTCAGGTTCCGGATGTGTATGTGTGTAACAACTGCCAAGCGAACAACACCGCGACCAGAAGGGAGGCCCTCAAGATTAAAAATTTCCGAGTAATCCGAGGAGGACGCTGGAAGAAGATGTGTGATGCTGAGATGTACCTTTCGGATTTTGAAGTGGAAGAGGGGATGGGTGAAAACGAACCATCGGCATCACCAAAACGGCCTCGAATCTGTTCTCCAGAATCTGTTCCATGTGAGCTTTCCAATTCTGTTCTCGTGCTTCTATTTAAATTATTTCTTTATAATTCTATCTTGTTTAGCTTAATTTAACTTTGAATTGATCTGAGTTCAATATAAGGTGATAGATGCTATTGTTTCCTGAGTGAATTTCTGTCCACAGAGTCCGAAGGTGTGCAGATCAGTTATGTTGGATGCGTATGAAGTGTGATGTCTATATTTCGTAAAGTTGGTGCTATTATGTTTGTGTTTATTTTCCTCGCTATAATAGCCACCTCGAGATCAACAGTTGGCGTTGAAAGCGCAGGTGCTGAAGCTTTGCTTGCTGCGATTGACGTCCTCGATGCCATTCCACAAGAAATGGATGCAGCAGACGCCGCAAAAGCGGAGAATGTGATAAATGACAACCCATCTCCTTGTCATCAGCCGAAACCAGACGAGGAGTCTGAGCTTCTGATGGTTGAATAGGTAAACTCGTTTTCTTTACCCATTAGTATATTCGTCTTCCTACATCTTCTTAATTATTTTCTTCTTGTCTTCAGAAACGAGGGCGGATGCGTGGTGCCCCGTCTGTAATTAGCCCTCCATTTTAACATTTTATCATTAATATATGCTTTCTTACTATTTGTTGTCACATAATGGATGTGGAAATAGAGTGCTATATGCCTTCACTTTGCAAGCTTCTATCTTTATGGCCTAAGTATAAAAATATTCAATTATTTGAGTGACGTAAACAATACCTCTACCACCTTTTAAAAATATTAGCGCATTTCATGCGAAACATGGATGTTCCAAGAGAAAGAACTCATCTCTAGTTAGGAAGAATTTTAATAGTTTGGGCTAATATCGCCTTGAAGCACTTTCTTTGTGCGGCCAGATCAACTAGGTAAACGACATTAATTAATTTGGCAAATAGCATTTACAATGGGACACAAATGATCAATTGTCGAAAAGGAGTTGAAATTATTCCTGAGTGTTGCAATATATAATTTCTATATATATATTGTTACAGCTATCAGCAAATTTTAGAGCTAAGCAGAAAATGTGTTCTAACTCACTTAAGGTAATTTCTATATATAATTGATAGGATAATTTAATATTAATGCGAAAACAAGCAGACGTTTAAAGTAGAATAATCCCTTAACTATAAAGCTAATCAACGAATTCAATTCTTAGTTTCAACAAAGCTCTCTCTCTCCCCCAGTATCGTAATTTCTGATTCGAATAGGCATTTATATATGTTGTTTCAAAGAACAACTTCTACCCTTAACGTGGCACAAAAATATACTACCCATTCAATAGAACTGCTAGCACTTTACCTATTACCAGTCAGTGTCTCTGTGGTTGTCTGATGCGATTTGCCTTCCATTGACCACAGTTGTTTGAAGAACAATGGTCAAGCTCCTGCTTCCTACTCCAAAGTACTTTTGTCCCAATGCAATTTCTCCAATTCTATCAAGTGTTTATATTTATCGCCAACTGGAATCTTGTTGCGCCTTATATTCTGTGTCATCTTTGTACTTCAGTGTTTTTATTGTGGGATAACATCTGATCACATTTAATAACTGCATTCTGGAAGCAATTCACCCTTTTAATATTTGAGATGTGGGGTGTGCAATGGACTTACCTCCACGTGGTGCATCCTGGGCAACGTATTCTCATACAGCAAAGTCTATTAACCGGCAGTTGACTTATCACTTCAAATTACCATCACCCCACTATATGTCATATTTGACTACTTCCACAGTAAACACCTCGCCTTTTTTCTACCTTTGTGTCTGCCTCTTTTATATCTTTGAAACACTCTTCTGTTCCTCCCCCCCCCCTCTCGACATTTTTTCCACTTTGATGTTTCTCCTCCCCTCTGTGAAACCTGAAGTCAACTAAAAGCCTAACGATAACTATCAAAACGCCTGCCATTTGATATAAATAAATATTTGAGATGTTCCAAGCTAGCTTATCCCTATTGTAATCTAAAATCCTCACAGCCGGCGACATTCAGAACTTATTTACAACAGTTCATTTGTACCTTATTATAACTATAAGTAATTAAATTAGTTTGATTAATTAGTTGTTAAGCTTCCTTTGATCACATTGACCACAATCAAGGCTAAAAAATCCAGGAATAAAATAATATACTTTGGCGTCATATTTTTAGATTTTCTATACAGCACTCAGTAACCTCAACTCGTTAAAAACCGGGGGGTTGAGCAAGGCCTATGATAATACACACTATAGGGGGGGGGGGGGGGGACTGAGATCAGAGCTCGTATCACGCACGACTCGCTGTCCTCCTGTTCTTGACAATGTTCTTTATATAATATTCGCCTGCTTTGTAAGAGGAACGCACTAGGGGACCGCTTGCAACCGACAGGAAACCCATTGACTTGGCTACTTCCTCCCACTCTACAAATTTGTCCGGGTGGACGTATTCCTTAACCTAGGAAAGGCAAAAATGAAAGCAAGCTTAATTTATCAAGAAAATCAATTGTTAAGGACAATATTACACAGCTGGTAGTTTAAAGCCCTTTTCAATGAAACGCTGTACAAATCACTACGGTATTGAGCGATATTTTGGAAAACACTTTTTAATTCAAGACGGTCTCATATTAGTTAGGAAGCAATGATTGGTTATTGTTAAAGAGAGGTTAGAAAAAACTTAATACTTCCACCGTCTGCATTCGATTTTGTCTAATATTGGACCCATTGGTTTATATTGATCCGTTAATCTTTAGCATTCCACACCTACTAAGCTGAGCAAAATTGACACATTTCTCAAGACTCTGAAATTATTATTATTATTATAGGGAAATAAAACAACATTCAGCACTACTCAGCGTATGAAGCAATTCTTCACTAGAGGGGGCATTGCATGCACTTAAAATCCTATTACTGGCAGAATAATAACTAAGATCAGGAGATTCTAAGATTTGAGCCTCAAACGTCACGACCACTGGTCGAATAGGAGTACATCACTAGCAAATAGAAGCGATACAGATAGAGGAGGATATGCAAAACCCTGAAGAAGAAAGTCTAAAGTTTTACACCATTACTACGATACTCAAGTTGGAACCCCTAATTTAACCTTTAAGGGGTTCCCCAAAATTGGTAGGTACGTCCCCTTAAAATAGCCTATAACCTATGAATAATCGATCCATTTGCCTGTTCAACCATTTCAAATAAACGAAAAGATGTTTCTCCCTTTGACCTTTGCTCTTACTAAAATTGTGGCTCCTGGGAAGTTGATAGGCTACAATCATGAACTCTTGTGCGAACCACCGCCTAAAATATAAGAATAACCTTTAAATGTCGCCTTGTCGGTTGAATGTACTGTCCCAGAGTTACACAATCCACTCCAGCTTGACGGAGATCAGAAAGGGTTGTACGAATCTCCTCATCAGTCTCCCCCAGACCCAACATGATACTTGACTTAGTCACAATATGCTCATTGCTGTTGCGTCGGGAATCGTACTCTTTTGCATACTCTAGAACTGATAGGGACTGAAGATAGGACGCTTTGGGGTCACGAACTGATCTAGAAAGAGAGTGGAATGGAAGGTAATCAATACTCCTGAATTAATAGATAATGCTAAAGGGGTGAGATGTGAAACAAACTTGGTAAGTGAATCTACTGTCTCAATGTTGTGAGCGTAGACGTCTAAACCACTGTCAACCATGGTTTCGATGGAGGTCTTGAGACCCTGGAAATCAGGCATAAGGCACTCGACGAGGATGGAAGGAATTTTTGTTTTGATCTGATGCACTAGATGAGGAAGAAATTATTTTTACTACAAAATAAGAAAATTTAGCATAGTAACTCCAAAATTTTACCTATGTAAAGAGAATGGCTGTACTCGTTTACACTCTAACTAAGACGTCCCAAATGTTCTTTTTACACTATTGAAATAGAATGACCATCTTGATAAGATGAACAGTAGTCCTGAGTTGGGGATGTGAAATTTAGCCCTAATTAGGACATTTAGTAGTTACGCGTCTCATTAGGCTTCAAATCCTCCCTATTTAAAATATTCAGAAAGATGCTTTAGTCAAAAAAAAGTGTTGTCTTATACGCTGTCGGGTTGTATTGTATTCAATGCCCATACTCCATTCATCGACTTGGCGCTGTGACCGCATAGCCGTAAGTTGGTCCATGCTAATCGGGAACTTCACTTCCAATTTCCTCAGTGTGGAAAACATGCGCTGTTGCCATTTCAAAGGACAAATTGAATCCGGTGTTAGCATTGAAGATGTAGGGGGCTTCAATCAACCCTCTGTCTTTCACAAAGCAACCATAAATAGGAAAGTGTAAGTTCTTATTCCCCCCTCGATGTTACAAGTTAATTGTTCATATTTCTATGCTATTTGTAGATCGTTAACAGTTATGGACGCAAAATTCTTTTATTCGAACCCGTCATGCTGTTTTATTGGAAGTACGAGAACCTACTCCCGATAAAAAGAACTTTAGCATCACTTAACAAAAAAGTCAATGGTTCCTTCAAGTATTCATTCTTCACAACTTGGTGGTCTTAGTTCTAGAGTTAATCTATGCAGCACTATATCAGTATACGAATATGCGGTTTGATGTAAAGTAATTCTAATCGCAGATACTATGACCAATATAACGTAGTAACGTCTATTTCGAGGGATAAATTTACGTTGCCCTCATTATGTGATACAAACGACTGAGTGTGGAAGGAGTACTTTCCGCTTGCGGAATGTCAACGTACCAGTTTCAGCAAAATGTGCAGCACCACCATCGAGCATATCATCTCTATCAACGGAGGTGATGACAATATAGTCGACGTTCCACTTGCTCACGGCCTCAGCGGTATTCTTTGGCTCCTCGGGATCCAGTGGAGGTGGGCTTCGCGATGTTTTCACGGAACAAAAACGACATGCTCGGGTACAAGTGTCGCCCATTATCTAGTGAAAAAAAGCAATATCAATGAGACAATTCGGAAGAAGCTGTTTTGAGTATAGATTGGAATGTCGGTTGAAACTTTCCAAGTCTTTTAAGGCGTATTCAAAGTACACGGCTAGGATATCCTGAACCCACTCTTGTGAGGAGCTTAAAGTCTACCAGGGCACAGTGAATGTGCAGCGATGGGTATTGATCTAGTGACCCTTGATTTGTAATTCGTGAAAATACACCAATGAATCACAGTAATACATGCATCATGGTAATTTAAGTTCACGCATACCCTTTGCACTCAAGTGTAATAGATACAAAGAATAAGCAATTAACAGAACCTGGGTAAAATGAAATTTGACATTATTACTGCGAGTCAACTACATGTGAAGTGCAAAGAGGGGTGCACCGCTCGGAATGCCTTTGGACAGACGCACACTCAAGAGATGATTACCTTACACAATTTTTTTTTCTATTTGAGCCAAAGAATCAAATCAAGTGCTAAATGTAACAAGCAGGGCGTTTTTTCAAATATATCCTCACAGTATCCCCATTTGAAAGGAGAAGTAGAAGGAACACCTCCGGATATGTCAAAATTTTCCACTACTTGAGTCAAAAATGACCTGAAACGTCTACATTTAGGTCATAACCATATCATAAATTGAATGTCTGGGCGATTAATGGCACTGGAATCCATATCGTCGACAGTACTTCAACGTCCCAGAAATTCCAATTATTACTAACGCATCGAAGATCCAAACTAGTTCGATTAGAGCTGATTATTTAGGATCGCATTTCGCTGTAATCAATTTCAAGAAACTTGATACACACTTTGCTCTTACTCAACTTATTTAAGAAATTGGACAATAGAGAGTCTTAAAAAGACAAATTTAGGATTTTAAGAATTTCAAGAAAAGAGGGGATTTTGAAAATCTTAACAATAGGTAGTAAAATATTCAAGACAGAAATATGCAGAAAATTAATCTGAGAAAGTTAATTCATTTGCATCCTCTCTCTCTCTCGAAAAAAAATATTTGCGCCCTAGATTAGGGACTTGAAAGTGGTGAGATTTAAATATCTCAAAAAGTTTCTGCAATTCAAACTTATGAAAAATTTACACGCCTATCTTAATTTCAGTACAGTACAGTATAGATCCTTAGCATCTACATAATAAGCATTGGGGTAAAGTGAATGCATTCACCATGATAGTTGCTGTTGGCACACCACCTTCATCACCGCCTTTCCAGCATTCACTTCGATTTGGACAGCGCGCTTCCTCGCATACCTGAAAAATAAAACAAAAAAGTCAAAGCTGAATCAGAAATTCATACATCAGACAGCATACCAGACCCCAATATTAACAATGTTGCTTACTGTATGCAGCTTTAATCCTCGAAGGTCTCCAGCCATCTTGGAGACTTTCTCGCCTTGTGCGATCCCCACCTTCAACCAGGGAGGAAGACGAAGCCTAAAAACAACAATTAGAATCATTAATAAGGGGGATAAAAATCCCATTCAAATCCAGCTAAGAAGATGGCATTCATAGCGAATACGTTTTCGACTGGAAAAGAAAAACGCGCTGATGGAAAGGCCTGTATCTAACATTAAGGTCTAAATCGAAATTCAGTGGGGTTGAATCAAGTAAAGAGACCGAAAAGTGAGATATGACCCCGCAGAAAGCAAATGAATTAACTCTGACCCCCCAATTGCGATTTCCTTTAACTCTGGCATTTGATTAGTCATGTTTGTAACCTTCCCAAGGTCTGGCATAAATATGCGCATCAAAAGTAGATTACACGTCTTTCACCTATTGGAACCTAGGAAGAGCTTTCTGCACTCAAGTAAATCTCCCCCCCCCCCACTCCCCTCCCGGCTAGATCAATAGTTAACAAGTTAATTCGCCTCTTCTTTCGTCCTAATAAATGTAACGGACTAGGAACTACGCACAAGAGATCCATAAGATATCATGCATTACCTGGTTCACATCTTTGTATATTGTTTAGATAGGCAATAATAATGATAGCCCACAATTTCAAGAAAACTTGAAACTTACAACAGAACAATAGAACTTCATCAAAATCAAAAAACAAATATTTACATCTTTTAAATTCTCAGAAAGGAAATTCCTCAGCAGTTAAAAAAGGTTGAACTCTGTTAGCCTACCTCCCATTAGGAGACTGGTCAATCTGTGTAATACAACCACCGGGAATTGGGGCTCCCATAGACACATCCAATTTGACAAAATCTCCCAAACTCGGTCCATAGCTTATCTTTTTCTTGAATTCGCTCACAATTTCATCTTTCTTATTATGAGTAGATCCATTTCCGCCACAACATTTCCCCTCGCTTGTACCTGACGACTCACATGACAGCCCACGCACTAAGGCTGAGGAGGAGAAAAATGCACTGGGTCGCCTCCAAAGGAACTGCGAATGTCTCAACATGTCTGAAACAAAAAATAACTAGGCTTAATGAAAAAGAAATTTAGAGATGAAAAAAATTAGCCATGTATCAGAAAAGAGAGTGGGGTTGTGTGCGCACACAGATTGTATTTTACATTACTTATCAAAACTTCTGTACTAAAATTCACATATACATGCAATAAATTAATAAATGCAATTGTGAGTATCCTGAGGTTGGGTATTGATCATTGGTTCTCTTTATCAGGATCAATTCGAAGAGAACGGAACAAGCTCCCTAGTTGAGTCATCGCATCCTTGTGGCTGGAAACTACACCACGTATTTCTTTATAGTGTTCCTTCACGAACTCTGCAAAGAGGGGTTTAGAACGTGGTGTCATTTGAACACCAGGTTGTGATGAAGACTGTGACGTTTGTGACGTCTCGACAGGTATCATTTTCCCATTCTTGTTGACAAAAAGTTGAAATCGAGACTTGCAATGCCTGCAGATTTTGCGTTGAGTATCCAGGGACTTGGAATGTCGATTGATGGTGGCGAAACAACCCGTGCAACGATAGGTGTAGCGAGCTTCTATGGCGTAAGTGTGACGAACAGTGATAGGTGGAATGCCAGGAAATGTGCTATTAGCTCGCTGAACGAAGGCACGCCAAAGACGACCGTGAGTGTCGTTCACTCCATGGACCATCCAGACTGCAGCGTGACAAGCTTCGTGAAGAAGAGTGTCTCGAACGCGTTCAGCTGATGTACAAACCTTTCCCGACAGCTCGATTTTAACTTCATTATTCTAGAGAACAAAATATATTGAAATGGTAGTACCGATCTCAAGACTAGCCGGTTGTGCGACGATAGCGTATTGGTTAACCTACATAACAACAAAGTCTGAGCTAGGTAATTAGATAGACCAATTTCTCGCTCTTTGCAAGTTGGCAAGCAACTCCCAAGGCAAGGATATGATTCCTAGTTTAAAGAGGCCTACTTATCAGGGTGCCCAGGCACAAAAAGTATCCCCCTGGCCAAAGTGTGCAAAGGAAAGGGCTTTCCGAATGAGTTCAGGAGCAATCTTATATTCAACTGAAAGTGTGAAAAGGGAATAAGGGAGGAAAATCACACTGGAAACACCTCTATCGATTGAAATTAGAGCGTTTCAAGCAATGATAAAGGATTCAAACTGGAGATAAATCGACGCCCCAACTCAGGTAAAAACGAAGTGACAAACACATTGCTATATAGTAGGTGGCAGAATTCTAATCTCTCACCAGAGAAATCCAAAACAATACGACTCTACTCAAGATGAGCGTTGCAAAAAGATTTCATAATGCTCTTGGGAATCACCATTCCCAATCGATAAATAGATATCGATGGTCAAGCTCTATTTTTCGTAAATCGGGGTGTGCGATAGACTTACCTCCGCGTGGTGCACCCTGGGCAACGTATGCTCATACGGCAAAAAAGTTTATTAACCGACAGTTGACTTCTCACTTCAAACTACCATCACCCCACTGTATGTCATATTCTACAACTTCCACAGCACTCATCTTACCTTTTTCTCTACCTTTGTGTCTGTCTCTTTTACAACTGCGGATCATTATTCTGTCCCCCCTCTCCACTTTTGTCCCATTGATGTTCCTTCCCTCTGTGAAGCCCCAAGTCAACTATAAGGGCTAATGAGAACTATCAAAACGCCTGCCAATTGAAATAAATAAAATTTTTCATAAATCTGTCTGCAAGCTAACCTCTGTAGTAACCGAATTTGTATTCATAATTTCTAATATATTCCAATTAAGGCCTTTGGAAATTTAAAAGAAACCTAGTCTTAAAATCTTCAAAGTAACGCCTTTTATAACCTTGCGCAACAGTTTGGAATCACCTATTAAACGGCAGTAATGACATTGATAAGGGATATAAAAGAAAAATAACGATAAATTGAGTCCCAAATCTTACAAACTCGGAAGGTCTAAGGACAACTACGCAGGTGATTACAAGACTTATCTTCACTCATCGTAATCCCACCAACCACATTCTGTCGCGTAGGTCACGAAAGTTCAATGCCTGATTCACTCCTTCTCCGGTCAATCACGCTATCTATGAACAAGAGCAATTCCAAACTGCATAAAATAGTAAACTAGTCTCTACCCCCTCTTTCTCTCTCTCGTGGGGACCTGACTGCAAATTATAAATAAAGACGTACCACAGTAAAAGTGCCATCCGGCTTCTTGACTTTTCGCTTCATGTATATACATTGACCGGCAGTTTTAAGAAGGCGTTCATTCCATTGCACCTTCAAATCTCTGGGAAGCTGCAAGGAGAAAACCCGCGTTCATTTCCGCATAATGCAAAATGAGAAGAAATAACTAACAAAGGTGGAGGGGGGGGGGGGAAATAGAGGCACTACCTTATTATCAAAGACAATTTCATTATAAAATGAATAGAGACGATTGGCCAATTCTTCGCGATTCTTCTTGAAGTTCTTCACGAATCTGAAATTAGATTATATCAAGACACACAATAGTCAACCGAGTGAAATTATATTACCGCAAAAGAACGCCTTCTTATACATTGAAAAAGTTCTCTACTGAACATGAATGCTGAAATTAGAGTAGTATGGAAGTATAGTGTAGCTATAGGCCTATATATGGCATTGAGGACACAAAGTAATTCCCTTTCTTCTACAAGTGACAAACTTAGCAGGAGAAAGAGAACATATATTGGGAGATAAAAGTGCAGAAATGTTAGCAGAAAATTGGGAGAAGTGGATATAAGTATCATAGTGGGGTTCACCATGATGAGCCATTTGAAATACAGTAAGTTATTGCCAAAACGAGAAATTGTATTATTCTTCATGCAAAAGTATATAAACATTCGCGTAAGAATAATAAAAACGGGTTGTAACTACCACTATATGATTGAATACCTATAATTACATGCAAAACTGCAAAAGTTACATAAGCCACCAAGCACGCTGCTACGCATTAATCAAAAGCGGGCCACTTCGTCTTCTTGTCAATTAGTGCAGAGGTGTTAGAGGCTAGAAAATGAGTGATAATCAACATGAAACTCATGTTGCTTCTTAGTGACTTATCCCTAAGACATTTCATAATAAAGTGCCTATTTAAACAATGGTTTATTACATCTGCAGACGAATCGATTTGTTACTGCAATGAAACTGCATGAAAAGATTCAATATAATACGAAGAAATAAAATGTCCATTGCAGGCGAAACTAATCCAATGGGAATAACTAACTCCCTCAATGTCATATCACTAATATATGAGGAAAACAATTCCATTTTTCACTGTCACTAGTTTAAAACTATCTATTATTAAGTGATTAAAGACACCATACAAAGCGGAATATAAAAACTATTTACTAACCTTTCAGCACTTGGATGACGTCGTCGACGAAATTTACTTGATGAAGGTTTCTCAACAGAATCGAGGGAATAAATAAAAGGCAGTGTTGAATAGACATCATCCCCTTGACGCTCATTTCCAATCTCCTTAAGAAGATTTTTGGTTGCAGTTTTTGGCTGCTGTGACCCCTTCGTTCGGTGAGGTTGGAGAGGATTAGGAGGAGGTGCTTCACCTATTTCTGGTCCGTGACTCGATTCCTCGTATTCGGAGGTATCTGTTTTTGTGATCCCCGTCGATTCCTCTTCTTCTTCTTCTTCCTCCACCTTCTGTTCTATACTACTTTCAGATGAACTTGATTCCACTCGGACTCGTCGTCTAACCTTCATAACTTTCCTGGAAGTTAAATGTTGGTTGAATTAGACTTGAAAAAAACCAGTAATGAAGGATGAAGGAATCAAGGAGAAAGTAAGTTATGAGCCGAAGTCAACTATTGAAATCAGCAAAGACTGAACTTAGAGAGGCAGCATGCAACCTCCGAACATAATAAAATGTCAAATTAAAGATTTTTTCAAAAAGAGAATATGATTAAAAACTGTTCATCATTTATTTGAGTTCTGCTATGATAAAATCAGGTTAGCTTAAAATATTCTGTAAGTGGTTGATCAACTATCTAATCCAATCAATATGTTTGGTATTTGTAACCCTGTAACACGAATTGACTTTTCTTGAGAACAATAAGCCAAACGACTTGAACTAAAAGACTTCATTTTCCACTTTAACTGAACTTCCCGCAATTCAAAAACCATAAAATTTGTCTTCATTCCGTGTGCCAAAAAAATTATTGAAGCACTACCTCACTGGATAGATAAATGCGCTTAAAATTTTCATTTCAAATCGCATATATTGAATATTAGTGAAACAGCCCAAATATACAAAATCTTGTTTGAAATCACAGCCAGAAGATGCCTCTAAAAGACAGAGGAATTAGGAACATGCGGAAAGAAAATTATAAGAAAGAGTTGAAAGCATCGGATTTAATAGAAATTTGAGGTTAACCGAAATCTCAACTATCAAAATCGGCAAACAACTTAACAGACGACGCAATAGAAGTAATCAAACATCGCAAATAACTCTCTAGTCCTTTAAACCTTTTTTAAAAAATGGGATAAATAAGAAATTCATAAAGAGCATAAGGAAAAGTGAAAAGCTCAACGCGACATGGCACACGAAGGAAATTCCAACTCTATCTAAGTGCTCTATTTGCTTATAGGAGATTGCTAAAACGAATTGTTTATTGGACATTAGAGCGGTGTAAAGAAGTAGATAGCGGTAGAGCTAAAATGTGTATGACAAATACCAATTGAAGAATAGAACTGCTCATTCACTAAACTAAGAACAATAAAGTGAGCTCAATCTCAAAAATGACAGACAGACCGTGACAGAAGGTTTGATAAATCAAGTTGATTTCCACTGGTGTTTGCCTTAGTCATTAACTAATAATGAAAATAATAGTAGATGTCAATAAGTTCAAAGAATTCTAGCCTAAAAGTGCAGGAATCTTCATAAATGTAGAAATTAAAACAGTCTACTAATAGCAACCAAGTATATGGACTCGGATTATCAACAAAATTTTGCGAAGCGCCATGCAAATAACTTCTGTAGGAAGAGCGTAAGTACAACCAAAATAATCTGATCAAGCTGGAACATACCAAAACGAGCAAAACGTAAAAAAGACCATATTGCTAAAAATTTTATTAATTGAGGAAGTTCCCCACAAGTTGACGTGAAAGCGAAAAGGATTATTCAAAAAGAAAGCCTCGTGATTTGTTTCATTAAGTTACACAAACCTCAGTGACTAACTTACTTTAGTGACTTCTTCAGGTTTTGATTTTCCAATCGACGATAGAAATTGAGATCTTCACTTGATTCCGACCCAGATGAGACGGAATCAGAAACAATAAAAGAGGAATCTCCATACCCTGGTTTGGGTTTCTTGGGAGAAGCTGGTGAAACACCACGAAGACGTGCCATGAGGGCTTCGAAAGAATCGGAATCGAAGCCTGTTTCGGCAACGCCATTATTAGAGAACTTAATAGGTTCCGGCTCATTATCCCCTTTGATAAGCTTTTTATCTATTTTCGAAACAGGAGACGAAGGCTTCAAGCATTCATCATCATCATCGCAGTCTTCCGAAAAAGTGCGTAAGGAGAGGTTACGAAAATGCCAACGTAATGGGGATGACTCCTTTTGTTTAACTTGATTTTTTGCATTAAGAAGAGGAGTGGAATGTGGAAAATGTGAGGGCGCAGGAGAGTCTACTGGTGAAGAACTGGAGGAGGAAAATATACTGTAACAAACATTTCGTGCCGTGTTTTCCGCTGCATCAGACTTACAATTCGTTAAATTAGTGCGACAATCATTGACAAGGGAACTGAGATTACTTTCAGGCATCTTATCGGCACGACTACTACGCGATAAACATCCAAAATTGATCATATATTTACTTTTATCAGATAATGCGGCAAATGCATCATTTTGGTAACCTAAAAATTTACTATTTAGGTTTTCTTCCTTATTGCTTCCATCACTGTCTGATTCTGATGTGAATAAGTCCGTAGGTATACCAGGAAAGGTTTTGCTCATGCTTAGAGTTGTTATTTAGGTCGTAAATATCTATTCGATAAATAGTATCCTACTTAACACAGCTGAATAGTGGAGATTCGTAATAAAATCATAAAATCCTTTACCACAACCACGCAATTTTTTGAAGGCTTAAAATAATATATACATAGAGGCTCTAAATGAAATAGGCTAAGGAGTATAGACGCTTAGTGCTTTCTTCACAGCTTATTTAAATGCATATTAATCACGTAGGAATTTTCATTTATTTTTTCAAAACTAACTTTAATGTTAAATATACATTTTAAATACGAATTTTGAAAATAAATATAAAAATTTATTGAGCTGATATTTCCAATTAGGTCATTAAAATATGAATTTTGATTTATTAGCTCTATAAAATATTCTTTAGAATCACTGGAATGCTTTAAAGTCGTGTTTGTTTCTATATATTCATAACTTGCTCGGCCGCTCTCTTCACTATTCGCGGCCGTGCTTTTCAGCTAGTTACGTAAATCTGTGGCCTCGGTTTTATAGGGCTTGTGCTAATTCACTATTGTGGACACAAATGGTCTGATTACTTTACAAAGATTATCCGAGCTGACTTATTCTGATACTCGGTGTTTCTTCACAGTTTAAAACTATGTAATTTGCTTGCTTGGTGAAGTATTGGAATCGTGTTCATGGAGGTAAGTTGCAGTGATGACAAAACAGATTTGAAACTGGTTCATTTATCTTTCGTAACACGGGGCTCATAAAAAAAAGATTCCTAAAATGGCCTTTTCAGCTTCTTGGGTCTTCATGAGCTGCGTGTTATGAAAGCCAAGTGCCCAGATATATGAAAAAGATTATGAGAGCTGATTTCTATAATAAAGCATGCTGGAAACTAACGTTACTTGTTCCATTTTAGATTTAGTTGCGTTTCTCAATTGTGCGCTTATCCAGTTTTACTCCTATTCCCTGAACTATTGATTTCAACGAGCTCATTTGAAGAAGTTAATGAAAACGGATTGAACCTGATTGAACGATGTCATAGTTAATCGGGTGTGACTTTGTTATGGCTTGTATTAATGAAGTTCGCTTAAAAAACGGATTTGTCTATCCTCGAAGTATGAAAAATTGATGTCCACAAAGCCAAGCGGATTAGAAAATTTATTTGTGGCTCAGGTGGATTTTGTACTGATTGCTAATAAAAATTCTTCTAATTGACTGTCTTCTTTTGTATTTGAAACGAAGTTAATTTTGAAATTTAATTCTTGGAGTAATAGTCCAGTAATCACTTATATGTCAACAAACAAGTTAGCTATTGCTAGTTATTATTTTTCTGCTTCCCTAATTGGTAGATCAGCATTTAGTCCGCTTTTTGTACTCATTTTCTATCGATTTAATGGGTTCTTTAACTTGATGGTGTAGCCGATATCAGTTGATAGGTCTCATTTTTTTGCGCATTTATTGAAACAATGGTCCTCGCTTCACATGCATTTCCTCGTTATTTGCCTTTACGTAATAAGAATCCGGTTCCCCTTTATTTTATGTAGGATCAAGTTGGTTACTATGTTCAAAATGTTAACTAAATCAGTGGGCCTTATAGCGGAAGCTGGGTATTAATGCTGTACGCGCTTGCTGTAACTTTTGTTTACTTAATAAGGGATGTGTGATAGACTTACCTCTTCGTATAATCATACGGCAAAAAAGTCTATTGACCGCCAGCTGACTTCTCAGTTTAAACTACCATGACCCCACTGGATGTCATATTCAACCTCTTTCACAGTACTCATCTTACCCTTTCTGAGCCTTTGTGTCTGCCTGCGTATTTTACATCTGTGAATCACTCTTCTATTTCCCCTCCCGAATTCTTCTTACTTTGATGTTCCTCCTCCTCTCTGTGAAGCCCGAAGTCAACTAATGGGCTAATGATAACTATCAAAACGTCTGCCATTTGTTATATATAAATAAATGGTTACTTATTAATTGAAAGTAGAAAGTGTACTTTCTGTTATAAAATTTATCACTCTCCCATAGATGCCTTTTTTTAAAAACATGCCGTGAAAATCAATTGCAAAAAACTATTTCCATTTTCTAGTTCTCCATCAATGTCTTTCCTCCTTTTTATCGGTAGCTCCCAAGTTGTCGTGGGAAGAATACAAAACCTAGGCCAATTCAAGCATCGCATACAAATGCATTTAATAATAATGCAGTGGCATTATTTGATTGGTGAAAACATGAAAAGCATTCTTTGGTATGTAGGTAAATAAATTATTTTATCTAAACAGACATTCTATGCTCGAATTTCGGAATAGGGTGTATGATTTTTAATTACTAGGACATGGAAGGAGGATTATTGTTGTCATTTATGAATTTCGGCACTCCTATCATCCCGAATACAGTTCGACATGTTTTATTCAAGGAAATACTTTAGCTTCATGTAGTTTAAAATCTTTGAATTTGGTATACTTCTATGAAAGGGCACAATCCATAGAGCAACTTGACGAAAAGTGATCACATAGTCAATTTCTTCTTTGCACCCTAGCGTTTTCCTACACTTATTTACTAAACCTTGGGGGTTAGAATTGTGGTCATTAACTGTTGTTTACGAATCTTTTGTCCTTCACATTTTCACCCCATGTTTTAGAGTCTTTATCGGAAGTTGTTAATTACCTCAAACCCGATTCAAACTAGCACCTTTACTTCTTATGGGTTTAATTTTTTCGATAAATTTTTCCTGGTCGACATATTAACTCCTTGCATCTTATTGGCCAGGGAAAACCTTAAAACCAGGCCTTTTTCTTCAATTGGTTATTTTCATTACAATTGTTAATCTGCTTGTTTCCCATAGGCAAGTACCCGTGAATAAATAGTTCTTTAAAGTCCAAATTTTTTTAGGATTTTACCCCACCTCCACTTTTAATCTGTTTTGTTAAAAACCATCTTCACTAAAATCGTGTGTGTTTGAACTGTGTTCAACCGACAAATTTAGGGATCGATTTTGCCCTCATCTTTTTCTGGTAATTCATAGGCTACCTGGAAAACCTAGGA